CTTAAGTGAATACATTGTTTTAGCATTTAATAATGGTACATTGCATGGCACATTTATTTTAAAGGTCCCCTATTATACTGTTTTTCATCAATATATTATAGGTCTCAGATATATACAAAACATGTCTCTGAAGTGTTTGGCTCAAAATACCAAACAGATCATTGCAGCATCCCATAATCCCCTCTGTTTCAGCCCTGTTTCCAAAGTGCTGATTCTCTGTCTGTTACTTTAGATGAAAATAAGGAGCCCCTCCCCATGCCCCTCTGAGAGATATTTGGTTAAAAAGAACACAATGGTGCTCTAGGAGGAGATTCAGGTGATAAGGCGGGGATGTTACCTTGGTTGGTGATTGGCTAATGGTTACACAAGCCAAAACACATGTTTATGTATAAAAGACATGAACAAGTGGATTTTGCATTATAGGTGACCTTTAAAGTGTGTCCACTAATATTAGTTTTAACATTTAAAGATCATTCTTGGCATGTAAACTTTGTTTTAGTTTACCCAGCGTTGGCAGCTGACCCAGAAACAGTCATTGCGGGGACAGTCTTCTGTGTAGCTTGCACACTGACCCATAAATGGAGACATCCCTGTACCTTCCTCAGTCGTCTGATTAATACAAGAGGTGCTGAAATGTAACGAGAGAAACAATGTAAACACTGCATGGCTCTCACTTTGTATTACCCAAGCTATTTATATCATATCATTATATGGTACATTATAAATGCAACTATCAATTATTTATTTTGTAACTCTAACTAATCAATATATATATATATTTTTAAATAATTGTCAAGGACTTAATCAAACCGTTACTGTACTTGTTACTGTAGGTCATTGCTCTTAATTTTTTTAAACAACATGGGTTTATGGCAACATCCCTTTTTAAAGCTGTGAACAAGTCATAAATACCACATTCAAGTTGTGGTTTAAGACAGCTGCTACATAGAACAGGATGAAATAGATATTTAAAGGTTCTCCATTTGACATTCAAGGCATTACTATAGCAACCAATGAAATGACTATGTGCTATGTTAAGATATAGTGGAGTATTTGCATACTGATCAGAGAATGGAGTCAAGCTCCCTCTGTGTGTGTTATAATCCAAGCTACTCTTTGCCTTGTTTATGTTAGTCTGGTGTATTAAGTTAACCCTTCTAGTTGTGTTAGCCCCAATTGCTGCTATCTTCCATGTGGAGGCAATCCCTCTGAAGTTCAAACCTTACAAAGTATGACATAAAACATGGGAAGGAAAAAACATCTGTGTTGCTAACAACATCACTGTCCTCTTCACACAGGTCTGCGAGGATCCCACCTGGAAACAATTCCTTCAGACCACCTAAGCAGCTCAGCAACTTCACTTGTTGGAGACAACAACCCTCAAACTATCCCGGAGAGTGTCTCCAGTCCACGCAGAGCTTCACCTTTATCCCAGGAAGAGGAAGAGGAAGAAGAAGAGGAAAAGGTGTCACTCCTGCACTCGCCACTGCCAAAGACTTCTGAAGCCCAGTCAGACTCAGAGCCTGAGGGAGAGAAGGACCAACAGAGCTACACGCTTACCGTGTCAGAAGATGAAAACTTAGAAGGAGCAGACCAAGATGGTACAGGTTGTTCACAGGATGAAGAAGCTGATGATGATGATGATGATGAAGATTACGATGAGGTTGTGGTGAACCCGAGGCCTCTGAACGAGGTGACTTCGTTAACGGACAAAACCAGCCCTTGGACCAGCATCATGTCAGAGCCTGACCTAGTGTCTGTGGAGAGCCCGGAGCCACCAGAGGGGCCCGATCTGAGAGAGGATGAGGACGAGGAAACGGTAGAACTGCTAACCCATAGTGGAGATGAGAGCAGAGAAGAAAGTGAACATCAGCAAAGTGACAGTTTTAATGGATCAGCTGGAGACTCTTCAGACACAGACTGTGAAAGGACAATACAATTTTCAGCCGAGAGACCACCGAAACAACCCAGCAGCCCCGACGAAGCGCCAGGTGACCGAGTTCCTTCACCCACCACACTGCACGCCACAGATACCCATGATGCTTCATGCGCCCTGAACCATCAAGACGTTCCAACCCAACTGTATCCTTGATTTGTGTTTTTAGGATTTAAGATTACATTTTACTTTTATTTGTTTGAAAAGGTCATCCAAGATCTAAAATAATGGAAAAATTGTTTACATTTCAGTTTTTTTGGAACACTTGCTCCACGGGCTTTTGTCTTAACATACAGGTGTGTCACTGGTTCTTTGTGTGATGTAGTTCTAAAATGTGTATTGCAATTGTATGTATATCACTGAAGCAGGCACATTTTAGATGCTTTAACATTCTACATGAAGCTCTGCCCCTGTGGAGGTTCCTAATTTCTTCCTTCCCTCTCACCAACTGGAGGCTTCCATGAGAGTCATACGTTTAGCTCCTTCTTTCTCCAACAAGACGACTGACCCGGTGAGTATTTGTCAACAACTCAACTCCCTGCATCCGCACTGACTCACTCTCCCTTCCCCTTTAATTCCACTCCCTTATCACACCTAAATGCATTCGTTTTAATTATAGCTTCATTCTTTTGGCAAGTGTCTTAATAATACCTATTGGAAGACTTACTTGTTTCCATTCATAGTTTAAGAAATAAGTCGTATTTCAGAATGTACAGTCACTGACATCAAAACAGAACCGCCATGCAAAGCAGGGGGTTATTATTAGATGACTTTACACATGACGCAAACTGAGCAGAGACCAGTCGTGAACAGTGACACTGTACCAACTAAAGCTCAGTGTCATTTCACTTCCAGCATGGACAGCTTTGGGCCCTCCCACTTTCTGACTTGTACAAATATTTCAAATGGGTGCTGTACATACTGTTATATGATCATGAGTATATATGGTGTTGATTGTACCGAGGGGTGTTTACACTGCAAATGAAAATGTGTCATTAATCTGCCCTCACACAGTTTCTATAGCAGCGCTAATGTGTTTCCCCTCCTAGCCTTTAGCTTTGGGAAAGGAGTGGACAAAGTAGTTTGAAGAGTCTTAACCTGTCTGTACTGAATAAAACCAGACAGTAACGAGTGTTTTTCTTTCTAAATGTCACATCGTGAGTTAAACCTGCCACGGTGGTTAGTATGCCCTTAATCCTCCTTATAGGTCCAAGCAAGTAGATTTGACTCATAGCTCAGTTTTAAGCTGCCTTTATTACATGTCAATTGACTCTGTATATTCACAAGACAGAGACTTAATAGTATCATAGCAGAAATCATATTCACTGTTAATATTCACTAAACCTAAGAAAGCACATTATGCACAGGTTTTCCCAAAGTACTCTGCAGGGTCAAATAAGGGTAACATTTAACATCTATTTGTGAAGCTATTTTAACTGCAAAAACCTTCAACCACAGTAGTATCATCATGACTTAATTTAATACATCTGACAAAAATAAAGCACTGTAGAACAGCAGGCCTGGTGTGAACATTGATATATGAAAAGAGAAGAGGAATCTAACCGATCTCCTGTCGGTTACAATAAATCCCACAAATGAAAGTGCATATGGCCCCTCAACTCTGAAATGCTTATATAACTCAAAGCCTAACCCCCTTGACTCTAACTGGCAGTTGGGACACACAGAGTTTACTTTTGACTCGTGAAAATTTGCAGCATTTATTATTTGACAAACTACACCCAGGTTTCCCAAAGGGAGCTAGGCTGCTCTTATAACAATATAATATGTAAACATGGTGGTTGCATTTCACCCAGGCCAAACCCGTGATCACTGGCTGTGATATAACTGCTAGCTCGAATACATACATTTGGCGCCAGATTTAAAAAAAAATAACATATCAAAAATTGCAATTTTAAAATGGTGTTCCTATGCAGAATGCTCATGTAATGTTGGGAGTTGTTCAGACCTGGTGTGAAACAGGTCGGCCCGCCCAGCCAGCTGTCCAGAGGTAAAGGTATTTTCTGTCACTCCATTGTAAACAGGGCCATCAAAAGGGTGTGGTGATATCAGATGTGGAGATGTTAAACTTTGAGGAGGCATGGAATTACCTTTTTGAAGAACCGGTTGGCGCTAGCCACTTGTTGCATACCTCCTAATTGAGCTCTTTGCACCAACACTATCATGTGACATGCCTGTTAATCGGTCTACCAATCAACATAAACTAAAGGAAGGCTTGCTGTGTTTGAACAGTCACTCTTTTGTTACCTCACACCTCAAACACGCAATAAATAATCCTTTCATTAATAGGTTGGCCTGTTTGTTTTGAGCACAAGATTAAATGTTATTCACGCTACAGGTTTGTCTGTTTTCCTCTCCACAGGGGCCTCACATTCCAAATCACAGAGGTCCTCGACAGCGTCCCAACATGTCCCCGTCATCCATGAAGAAAGAGACTGAAAGAATAGCAAAAATATTTTCAGCCCACTTTGATGGCAATCACTAGTGGTGCTCGAAATGTGTACAGCTGGGTGATTTTAGATCATGTAAATTCAAGGTGGCATTTGTGTTTTTATAAATAAACTAACTGTCCATTGTTGCAACACTGCATACCTTTTTGAATTTGTTGTATTATCATACAGGCCTCAGGTCACATTATGCACAGTATGTCCTGTTTGAACCTGTGCATCATTGGCGGTTGCACATTTCTGTTTTCGTAAGGCCAGATAGCTGAAAAACGATTCAAAATTACAAGAAACTTAAATCAAGACACACGCAACAATATCTATAGTACAGAGGTGATACAACTGGACATGCTTACTTGCATACTTTATATATGTATTCCCAGGGGGGTTAAAAGTCTTACTTTAACATAAGTTGTACGTATTTTGCTTGGACTTAATAAATTAGGTATTCAGGATGTTGCTGTGCAGAGTAATACAAAGGTTTTTTTATTTTCCCAAATACAAATGTCTGACACCTACGCCCCCAGGGACTTCTTATAAAACACGTTGTTATGTTCCAGATCAAAAGAGACACCTTACTTTAAAGTGTGAAAAAAGCTACAAAAAAATAAATTGTATTTGAATGTTGAGAGGTCTTGCAAATAAGGGACATGGCACTTCCTGGCTTGTACAGTATCTTTTTCTTTTTTTTTGGTCTATGAGAGTTATAAAGGACATATCCTGACCAAATGCTCTGTATTTACCGAGGTAACTAAAACACCGCTCCTCACATGCATGGAGCAGCGTGCGTGCGGGTGTGTTTTTGCGCGCGTGTGTGCAGGGCGGTGCAGCAGCAGAGAGACAACCCCCGGCTGCCAGCTGGTTCAAGATGAGCTGTTATTCGTGGTGACCGGCAGTTGTTTTTGTTTAAAGTGGAGGGTTTGGAGCTTTGTTTTTATGTCTAATAGCACAACAATATCCAAAAGACACACTTTTTTAATCCCGGAAACTTGACTGCGGCTGCAGGAGCTAACTCACCTGGATCCGTAATGGAGCGGCAGAGAGTTAGCATGATTGAACACTTTAATTGTAGGAAATAATTATTGAATGCGCTGTCTGCTCGTCCTGTTTTTTTTTAACACTTTGTGCATCCTCTGAGCTGAGTCATGGTTGGTGGAGGATCTGCTGATCTGGCTCCGTCAGTCGCTGTCAAAATCTTCTCCGCCGGAGCAGCTGGCTGTGTGGCCGACCTGGTCACCTTCCCTCTAGACACAGCCAAAGTGCGACTGCAGGTGAGCAGCATCACCTCAAGTGTATGAATTATCCCCCCAAGGCCAATATATTATAGCCACCTAAAACATCTGTAGCAGGGGGAACAACATAACACCGCTTGTTGCTGTATGTCAAACCTATGGCGTAACACTTAACAAACGAGGAAATCGCTATGTCCATAAACGCCATAAGAGACTGATATTATAGCAACCTTAAAGGCACATTTTTATTTGATCTCAAGTGACCTTTTTGAAACTTGTTTATTCATATCACTTCAGATTCAAGGTGAATCTACGCCCTCATTGAAAGGCCAGAGGATGAAATTCCGAGGTGTGTTCGGCACCATCTTCACCATGGTGAAGACCGAGGGCCCCAGGAGCCTGTACAGCGGTCTGGTGGCAGGCCTGCACCGACAGATGAGCTTCGCCTCCGTACGCATCGGCCTGTACGACAGCATGAAGCAGTTCTACAGCAGAGGCTCAGAAAGTATGTTTCCAAGTGTTAACAGACGGTCAACCAATCAGTGCAGCTCTTTCCATCACTTATTCTGGCCTGCAGTTGCAAACAAAAATGATTTCTGGGATCACCTTCAAGATGCTTTTGTGCAGGGGTGCTCAAACTGTTTTATTAAAGGTCCACTTGTGAATTTTATACAAGGTCCGGATAAATGCCAGTAAAGTCGAGTAAAATTATTTTTGATATGAAATACTCCAAATCTCCACCCTCCATAATTGCACTTGCTTCAGTTGCTTGCTACTTTTTTATGGAATGCCATTTAAGCCAAAATTAAATAAATAAATAAATACATAAATAATTAAATAAATATATAAATATGCCTATGAAATAAATTATGAAATAAATAATGAGGCAATAAATATGTATACATGTACATTTAAATACACATTTATTTATTTCATGGGACTTTTATTTCATAATGAGACATTTATTTATATAGGGAACTTTGTAGTAGCCATTCGGCACGTATAGAACAGTGACTAAGGAAGGTTGAAGTCGAAAACAGTATACAAGGTAAAACATTTACTTGAATTTGAAAGCCTGTGTCGACTTAACGTTTTAGACAGCTGTTGAGGACTCTAATGTTCACAGTTGTATGTAATTTTTGGTACTGGGATTTTACCCAGAGTCCAAGGACAAGTGTTTACCGGGTACGAACTTAGTAGAGGTACTTAGAGAAAACGAAAGACTGCAGAGAGGAATTTCAGTCCCCTCGTAGGTGAGTTACCGATCAGACGCACGTTCACAGTTCCCTAAAGCTTTTGGGGAGGAGAGATATGAATGTCTTCTAAGAAAGTCTCTTAGCTAGTAGGAATACCGTCACAGGTAGCTTTACAATGACGAACGTAACGGAACGATTGTTTGCACTAGCAGACTGTATCCAAAGTTCACACATATGGAGAGTATAAGCTGGTAAAAGTATTGAGACAAGGGGTGTTAAGAAGTTGAGGTGGGGTCCGAATAGGTCGTGGGGTCAGTCAAAAAGGACACTCTGGAAATGGTCAACACAGGAAGGTGTTGACTACTTCGGTTGTTTTCTGAGTAACTACCACCGAAGAAAAACGAGCAGGCATACTTTATGGCCTAATACTGACTCCGGACGAGGACGAAACTTTACAGTCCTCAAGGTTAGGTTGAGGTGTCGTTTCATGAACCTCGAAACTGGACCCCCCGTGTTTAAAATGGTTCATGTGTAAGACGTTAACTTAGATTTTTAAGTAAGACTCACGGTGGTCCTCATAGGACCAAAAAAAAATCGGCGATTGTGAAGATTCTAACGAACGATCCACACTGTAGTATAGCACGATACTGGAGTTCCTGTGGGTCTTTTTAAAAGGTAAAAATCCTAAGGATTACATCGTAAGAACGGGGGAAGTCACGTTCAAGGAAAGACGCTCTTTCTCATACGTTAGCTAGTGAGAGCAATTTGGTGCGAAGAGGCTCACACGGAAAAGTCGAAGATAGCGCGAAAAACGTTCCATGAACAGGTTAACAGAATGGTTCCGCATTCGCTCTACAATTAAGAAAAGGTGTTTTCTATGCGCAACTACACAATTTGGTGACCAAAGTACCACGACGTCGCAAAAACTTTCTGAGACGGTCAAAATATAGGGTGGTGTTTCGCACACAGTTCGGTTGCGATCGAGTGGCTTTTCAAATGTGCGTTTTGTTATGTGGGAATAAGCATGAAAATCTTAATGTCATTGGTTAGAGCCGTTGAAAGAGAGGTAAACTGTAAACACGCTTTTGTTATGCGAAAGCTTTTTTGTGGAAGATCTGAAAGAGACTAGACCTATACCGGGTAGTCCTGTAAACACACCGGTAAAAGTTGTTTGTGACGGATTTGTACTCAGGGGGTTAGACTACACCACCACCGGTCAGACTACCTAGAAGACTCATTCCGGAACTGAGTCGGGAGGAGGAGAAGTGGAGAGACAAGGTGTTGGAAGTAGAAGTGGAGAGACAAGCGTAAGAGAAGGTGGAGTAGAGTAGATGACAAGTTGTAATGAGAAGGTGGAGTAGAAGTGGAGAGCCAAGCTGTAAGAGAAGGTGGAGTAGAAGGTGGAGAGCAAGTGTAAGAAGCAGAAGGTGGAGTAGAAGTGGAGAGCAACTGTAGAGAAGGTGGAGTAGCAGTGGAGAGCCAAGCTGGTTAACGAGTTTAAGGTGGAGACACCACTCACGAGAGGTAGAGACAGACGTGATACTAGGGGTTTTTCCTGTGCATTATCCAACAAGTTGTCTTGAAGTTTGGTATGACTCTGTAACTCAAACACACAAGTTTGATTATCTTGAGGAATGATGGACTGTAGTAGTGACCAGAGTAGAGATGAACCTACGGTTAGCGGCTGGAGTACCAGCAGTAGTAAGGTGAGGAACGGACACAAGAAAAGGTGATTCTATATACAGTTGTTTGTAATACTTTATCTAAAAGGTATAATCAAAAGGCATAATTATTATAATTTTATATAAATTCCTTTACTTAGACACCATAGTTCTGGGGATGTTGAATGTGGATTACAATCTGGATGGACAACGGAAGGGGGACGGAAGGACTGGTGTAGAGTGTGGACTTATTTTACTTAAGTGACAAATTCGTCGACAGGATTTAATTTATAATATAGTCGGGGTCCGACTATTCCGTTTGAATTATAAATTTTTGGTTTGTGATAACATACGGCAATTCCAAAAACGGACGACGACTTCATGTAAGTGTAAAACCTTAAATTTTCTTGTTTTATTTTTTGTGATAATAACGGCCACATTCCAACACGACGACAACTTTCCATTAAGTGTAAAACCTCTAAAATTTTCTTGTTATGCCTCTCGATGAACGTGTCCCGGACATTTCTCTTACCCTGGGACATTATTGTCCGAAGACACAGTGGTTTTCTACATATCGGACATTACAGACTGTCGTGTCGATTGTTATCTGTCGATTACCGTCGTGTTGTATAAATTTACTAAGGTACCAATCGATACAAAAGGTCGAAGAACTGTAAATAACACGTACATGGAATATAAATGGTCAACAATAAATGGAATTATGTTGAAACCTGCAAACTGTACGTACCCCAAATTGGGGGGCATCGATAGTCTTTGTAGCCAAACGTAATTTCGATCGGCATTTGGTGGAGTAGACCGATCACCCAATCGTTTGTGATCGTTAGACTCTTGTCAGAACAATTGTACTTGACTGTAACGGTTCCGGAGAATAAACCATCGTTTACACACGTTACTAAGGTACTATTTGGTCTCAATAACGTAATCAATACAAAAGGTCTAAGAACAGTAAATAACAATGTACATGAGCTATGAAAGGTACAGTGCGAACAGCGTCGTTGTAACCAAACGGTATAAGATCGATCGGTATTTGGGGTGGGTGGAAACCGACGATGTACGGGTCACAATCGTATGCGATCGGTCAGTATAAAGGTTCGTGTCTGTCTGCAGTGTGAAATTAGTAGGATAAAGGATGGACAACGGAAAGTTGTAGGTAGATAAATCGACAACGCTAGGGAACGTGCGCAGAGAAAAGGGAGAAAGAAAAAGATAAAGACGGGGCTGGCGAAAAAACCAAATGGTACTAAAGAAAAACCTGCAATTAGTGTTTGCTCGCCGGACGAGGAGTCCAACAAAGTGCCCGGGACGAGCACGAGGGAGGAGATACAAGTTTTAAGATACTACCTTAGAAAATACTCATCCCGCGGGAAGAGATCGTAAATGAGGAGATTTACAAAATTTTGGAATCCTTTACGTTCTTTTTGATAAAATCTTTTGTATTTTCTTTTTGGTAAATAAAAATAAATTAATTAAAAAAAAAAATGGTAGCGAACAAACCCGCGGGGGTATGACCACACCGCGGGGATACGCAGCGTAATATCACCGTATGGGTGAAAAACGCGGTGACAGAGCCTTCCTCGCGAATAGGCGCGCTCATGAAGCTATTTCAGAAGTTATACCGGTTGTGTCATTAGAAACCGATCTTGGCACAACTAGTTAAACCTATGACGATTCCTATGTAATCGTAGAACCTCGGGTGGCTGCAGAAGGTACAACGAACGGGGCGCGGATAAAAGTAAATCATCAAACGGAATATCAGGAAGAGGAGGTAAAAGAAGGAGAAGAGCTTCATCAGTCACATACACCACGACACGAAAGCCAGACCCAGAGACCTAGACACTCGATTGGTTCGGGGCCAAGTAAACGTATATTCTTACCTTTACAGAGTAGTACTTTACAGAGTAGTACTTTATGTTCAGTGACTTTTATTTATCTTACGCAGAAATACTTTATGTTCAGTAGAACTTTATTTATTTATACAGTAATACTTTATGACTAAGAGAACTTTATTTATTTACAAGTACTTTATGTTCAGAGAACTTTATTTTATTTACAAGTAATACTTTAT